CTTTAAATTTCATGTGATAATTCAATTGATAAGTCTGTAATCAGTTAAGGCAAATGGAGTATTTTCAAATGCTTTGAATTTCCCACACAAACAATGCCTGCTTGTTTCTCTCTCCAAGTCTTACCAAGATGGGGAATGTTTCATATCTGAGAGCCAGGGGTAACCCAAGAGAATATCCTTCCTGTCTTGTGCCTTTGTCACTTTAGGAAGATTAGAAAAACATATCTCTATTTCTCCTGAACTCCAGTTCACCTTCATTCCCATGGAGAACAAAATCTTTCTATTTACTTTCCAAGTGACTTCCCATGGTTTGAAAACGTCTCACGGTGAAAAGTCACATAGGAAAGAACAGAGTATCAGATGCTATAAAAGAGAAAGAAGAAGGGTTACAGTGAATGCGAATGAGAAAATTACCATTTTCATTGTTCTCTCTGCTCTGAAACAGAAAGATAGAATCCCGTGACCTGGCCTCTCTTCACACTACCCTCTCCAGAACACGCTTTGTAAGAGCATGGCATAGGGTTCTCCCTTGTCTTCATATCTTCTCTATTATTTGCACAACTACTAACAACAACAACAACAACAACAAAAAGTCTTGGAGACTCAAAGCCATGAATAAGCACCTCAGACTCTATTCCAGTAAATGTGGCTAGAACATCTCTTATAGTAGAAATGGGGGTCAGTCATTTGGCCTACCAATTAAGAGACCTGCATCCTATTCAGAATGCCTGTGTTCAATTCCAGGCTCTGGCTGCTTATTTCCAGGTTCCTGCTAATATAGTCCCCTGGGAGGCAGCAGATGATAGCTTAGGTAGTTAGGGCCTGGGAGACCTGGATTGGATTCCCAGACTCAGCTGGGCCTAGCCCTGGCCATTGCAGGAACTGAAGGAATGAACTAGCAGATTGGAGTTCTGACTCTTTCTGCCTCTCAAATAAAAACTTTTTTAACAATGGTAGAAATGACTGCAGTGCCCCCATGAACTGTGGCAGGATGTTTCAGCTCTCCCTATTCTTGCATAGAAGTAACATCTACAACGTTCATCTCCCTCCTTTCCTAGGTTATTGTCCGCATGTATTATTTATGCCCACTGCTCTTTCTTCCTAAGTTATTCTGTTCTGATATCTCTCTCAGAAACAATTTGCCACGAGCACTTACCAGCAAAGCAGAGCGAGATGGTGGCTGAGTCAGACACTCCAGCGGGCCTCTCCCTGCAGAGACCCCACTTCACACGGCAACTCACACACAAGCCACCTTCACAAAAGCTTGGGAAGCAGGTGAGCGGCCAAGTGTTGGGTCTCGTATAATACGCAAAGGAAAAGATGCATTGCAGAAGGCAAGGAGGAAACAGTCGGCACATTATACTTCCCCCAGCTCCAAGTAGTGCAGTGACATGTCTCCTGTCTGGGAAAGGGAGAAAAAATTAAATCCAGACCCAATCTTGAAACTCAGTATCAGGCTCTCCACTGTAAAATCCAGAGCTGGCAGGGACCCATGGCAGCTGCCCCCAACCAGTACATGCGGACTGAGACTTTCAACCCTTCCTAGTCAAGAGGTCAAGGGAACACCTCCACTCTCCTAACCTCCAGCAGACAGCACAGCAAGACTCCAGCCGCTGGGAAGTAGGGTTGGAAAGTCAGCTCAGGACTTCCGTGGAGCTCAACGTGGAGCCTGCCATGATGAGTATTAGCACCAGATAAAGCCCAAAGGCCTTTATTCTTGGACCAGTGCTCACAGACAGAGCCTCTAATAGGTCATTCAGAGCAACACATCAACAGTGGATTGGGTACAAACCAAGGAAGGGACGCCCTCTAGTGCTAAAATGGTGACAACACACCAACCACAGACTCATCCCAGACTTCAACCTAGGGCACCATCTAGTACAGAAATAGCAGAAATACCCTTAGGCTCAGAGACTGCTTAAGTTTCTGGAAAGAAAGCACAAAACGAAACCATATTTTGAAGACGGAAAAATTTCCAGTCCTTTAATGTGGAGATGATGTCATATGCCAAAAAGTTAAAAGAACTTCCAGGGAACCATGACCTCATCTAATGAACAAAATAAGGTGTCACAAACTGATCAGATAGCAATGCATACTGTAAATCCTCAGGTGCAGAATTTAAAATAGCTACCTAAAGGAAACTCAGTGAGATACAGAAAAGTACAGAGAAATTATTTAATACTCTACAAAACTTGAGAGATGGAAGCAATTTTTAAAATATTAAACAGAAATTCTTGAGTTGAAAAGTACATTGATATTAAAATGTGATAGAAGGTATCCACAGCAGAATAGATCATACAGAAGAAGAGATTAGTGAGCTTGAAGACAGGTAATTTGAAAATACATAGGAGGTAAAAAGGAAAAATAATGAAGAAAGTTTACAGAAATCCTGGGCTATCATTAAAAGAGCAATTATCTAAGTTACTGGGTTCAAGAGGGACTTGAGAAGACCACAGGGATAGAAGTCATATTCAAAAAAATAATAACAGAAAACTTCTCAAACCTAGAGAAAGCTCCAACTATGCAGATACAAGAAGGTCAGAGGTCACCAGTCAGATTCAAGTTACCCACTCCAAGGATAATAACCAAGCTCTCCCAAAGATAGAGAATTCTTAGAGCTGCAAGAGAAAACAAGCAAGTAACATAATGACGTCTGGCTGCAACGTCGCAACAGAAACCGCACAACTAGAATGGGATGAGAGCTTCACAATGCTAATGGAAACGCCTGCCAGAAAGTCTTAGACTCTATTGGTAAGGATGTAGATTAGCACAACCATGTTAGAAAACAGTATGGAGGTTCCTCAAAAAATTAAAGAGAACTCCCATATTACCCAGATATCCCATTATTGGGTATATATCCAGAAAAAATAAAATCAGTCTATCAAAGATACATCTGGCCGGCACCGCGGCTCACTAGGCAAATCCTCCACCTTGTGGCGCCGGCACACGGGGTTCTAGTCCCGGTCAGGGCACCAGATTCTGTCCCGGTTGCCCCTCTTCCCGGCCAGCTCTCTGCTGTGGCCAGGGAGTGCAGTGGAGGATGGCCCAAGTGCTTGGGCCCTGCACTCCATGGGAGACCAGGAGAAGCACCTGGCTCCTGCCATCGGATCAGCGCGGTGCGCCGGCCGCAGCACGCCGGCCACGGCGGCCACTGGAGGGTGAACCAATGGCAAAGGAAGACCTTTCTCTCTGTCTCTCTCACTGTCCACTCTGCCTGTCAAAAAATAAAAATAAATAAAAAAAATTTTTTTTTAAAAAAGATACATCTACACTTCCATGCTTATTGCAGCCCCATTCACAAGAGCCAAGAAATGCAAACAACCTAAGTATCCATCCACTGATGCATGGATAAATTGTCATATATATATATGTGTGTGTATATATATGTGTGTGTGTGTGTGTGTGTGTGTGTGTATGATAGAATACTACTCAATCATTAAAAAGGATGAAATCGTGTCATCTGTAACAACATGGATGGAACTGGAGGTCATTATACTATGTGAAATAAACCAAACACAGAAAGACAAGCACTGCATGATCTCAGTTATACAAGGTATCTGAAAAATCGATCTCACAGCAGAGTACAATGGTGTTTACCAGAGGCTGAGGAGAGCAGGCAGGAGGGAGGGATGGGAAAGGTTGATTAGTGATTATTAAGTTACAGTTAGTAGGAAGAAGTTGTGGTGTTCTATTGCACGGTGAGGTAACTACAGATAACAAGCATGTACTGTAGAGCATACATACACATAATATATGTATATATTTTTAAAGCTAGAGAATATACATACATGTAATATATACATATATTTTTAAAGCTATAAGAGAGGATTTTGAATGTTTTTACCCAAGAAATGTCTGAGGTAACAGTTATGCTTATCCTTAACTGAACATTACAAGGTAATACATGTATCAAGACATCACATGGTACCTAAAAAAGAAAGGAATTTATCATCTGCCTATATTTGCTTCAATTTTACTCCTGTGTTTGGTAGTACTTGGATAATAATGATTATGATAAAAAGTACCACAGAAAGTTCAGTCACAATTTCTTTGGCATTTATTTTGCTCCAGACCCTGTTAGTCTTCACAACTACAGCTGAAAATGAGGGTTTATCATCACATTATACAAAGAAACTCAAGTTCAGAACATCAAGTTGTTGCCTAAAGTCACACCACTACTAAACCTCAGGATCTGGACTTGAATCCAAAGAAGTGTGCCTGGAAGCCCCGCCCACTCCAGGACACCACCCCTCACAGAGCACTCACAGTGCCAGCACAAGGGCCGAGACCCTTAGCTAAGTTATTTATTCTTCAAAACAAACATATAATGTGGGTGTCGCTATTCCTATTTTGTTATGAAGACTGAACAGAGAAGTTAAATAACTTAAGGTTGCAGAGCTAGTCTGGGCAGAATAGTCACATCAATGCCAGCTTGTCAGCTTCAAAGTCTGTATCACCAGGCACCTGCCATGGGAGCTTAATGAAGAACTGTGCTCTCCCCACCCCGCAGCAAAGATTTGATAAAACAGAATTTGCTGTAGCTATAAGAAGATGGGATAATATTTATCAAGTAAGAGTCTTGTGACTCACATCCCTAAGGCCCAGAACTGATAAGGCTTCGTGTGTGTGTGTGTGTGTGTGTGTGTATGCATGCACACACACGTCCCAGCAATATCTAAAGAAGAAACTCTTGATACCGAAGGAGAAAACTGAGTTGTTCATGTCTATTTCTTTTTAGTTACTGAACCTAAGGCTGCTCAGCTTTAAAATCAAAACCAGCATCGAATGAGTCTCAATTTTAAAGCACGGCACTCATTGCAGCTCCATTACATAACCAATTACGCGATTCTTCCCAGAGAAAAACCTCGCAGATGATTTCGATTCTTCAAATTCTCCTTGTTTATCAAACAGATTACAAGAGCCAAATGGAAATGAATGTCCAGCCCAGTATCAGACACAACTGAATGTTTTCAGAATGATTAAATAAGCCAGAGAGGGAATGTCAATGCAATTTATGTAATTTTATTTTGATATAATCTCAAGTTTACAGAAAACCTGCAAAAGATTGTCCACATACCTTTACCCTTATTAACTACTGATTAACCTGTTGCCCTATTCCTTATACTATCACATTAATTTTATGTGATAGTGTATAATAATTTTATAGCACTTTATAATCAGTATAAATAGATTTCAATTCAATCTAAAGGAATCATTTTGCTGCTATGAGAGTAAATCTGCATCCAGTTTCCAGCCTTCGTACTGGAAAGCTGATGTAATTTACCCAAATCTGAAGTCCAGACCCAATCAGGGGTGATGACCCCTGCCAGGACATCCAAAAACTTCCAAAATATCCACTGTTGGGGCTCAAAATAGGATATTCCGAAGTGTGATGCTTTGAAATGCTGAGCACTCTGAGTCAAAGCGAATTGGAAGGCCTCAGAAGCTGCCTTAGAACCAAAGTCTCTCGTACCTGCCCTTGCTCTTCCCTCCGAGCTCGGGGAGATGCTGTCTCTGCACTTCCCTCCAGGACAGAGGAAACTTCTTCCAAAGAAAAATGCAACTGTCTTAAGTTTCCCTAGGAATCTCATCAATTAACCAGGCAAGATTAACGAGCAGAGAAGAGACGAGACTGAAAGTCATCACCAGGCACAAACAGACGCTTCCTCTCATCTCCAGAGGGCAGCTCCGACAAACACAAAGAACAAGACATCTTTGGTTCCCAGGAAGTTCCACCATCACCTTCCTGTACCTCATCTCCACCTCCCCCGGAGCTCAGACCACGGTCTGCATTGTGGGATCATCCATTTGTTGTAACATCATTTACTACACGTCTAACCTTGCCAACAGCACCCCCACACCCCTCTTTCCCCTTTGAAGAATGTATTTGAGCTTCAACCATTGACCCTTTGTTTTATATAACCATATATGTTTTATTGAACTATGGTCCATTTGAGTGCGGGTTTTTCTTTGGTTAATCTGTCTACCATTCAGTGCAGCAAAACTTCAGAGGGGAGAAGGGGGATTTCCTTTCTCTCCTGAACTGTAGCAACATTCACTTCAATGTGAGCTTATTTTTCAAAGAAAAATGATCTAACAGCCTTTTAAAAAAGTTATTTTTAAAACAATATTTTATAACCAAATCCACAAATGAAAAAAAGAATCTCATCCAAGAAAGTTACCAAATGATAACAATCAACTCCTAAACTGCCTGGCAATGACAATCAATGAGATACCACCAAGACAGCTCCATGGACATTTGGACCTCCATTCCTCTGGAACGAACAAGGCACTTCATTTCAATTATTCAGCATATCTCAAAGCTAACTAGGAAAGGCCTGAGCGACCTTGAAACCTTCCCCCGTTAGGTTCCACAGACACTGCCACAGTCAGATTTTGGGAATCATCTGATTATAACTGGTTCATGTAACACTAACGTCGTGAGGTGAAGGGCCAAACACCCAGTGCTGACACAGAGTCTAGAACACCTTGGTGCAGACTTGTTTGAGGACATCACCTGGGCAAACAGCCTTCCCTGAAAGAATTCATGGCACAGACTCCTGAAACAGTGATGGGTCAGATGTGTGGCAGCAGGCAGATGCGTCTCGTGGCTTCTTCTACTTGTCTCCGGCTGCCTTCCTCTCCAGCTGGCTTCAGAAGGACTTTATTCCCAGTGTCCACTGAAAATACAACCTGGATTCACTCAATAAATATCTCGTAAGGAGGTCACATGAAAAGATTGCTCCAATTCACTCTTGCTGGTGGGTTTCCAAGGGTGAAATAAGACAGTTCTTGTCTTCTCAGTCATGAGGAAGCCATTGTCACTAAATCTCCCTGGGATGCTTCCCACATCCAACCACACAAAGGGAGCAACAGCGGAGGTTTTCAGATCAAAAATGAACATGTCACCCTTCTGAGAGATGTTGGCCTGAAAAAAAGAAAAAGCATAAATGTAGCGAAGGGTGAAGAAGGGCTACATAGTGACATGCAATCCCCATGAGAACACTCAAGTGTGCCTACTAGGCAGTGCACTACCTACAACTTTGGCTCTGTCACTGCTGGAAGTCCAATATTTTGTGTATAGTTTCAGATACTTCCCAATTACACACAAAATTATTTCAGGCTATGGGGAAATACCAAATTCTAACCTCAACCCAAAGAAATATGCAGTCTCCTATGATTCGGGAGGCCACGTCACGCAAGAAGCTCAAAGCTTTGTAGCTTCGGCCGAGCATCACCGAGAGCGATACATTTCTGCCTAAGGGCTGGGTGGTTTAAATGACTTTCTAAGGCCATAGCTAGACCTAGTTGCAGAGCACAATTATGGAGCTGGTAGTCGGGCCTTCTAAAAAGATCCAGGAGTCTAGAAAGCACCCTGCCAGGCAGTTCCAGAAGCTCAGCCATCCTCTTTTATTGCACAGTAAAGTCATATTAATAACATTTTTACATGTTTAGATTCCAGACACCATCAGCGAAAAGAGAAAGTGCTATTTAAATCAGGTGGGCCCCACTGCAGTTAATTAGCCAATGAACATATGCCCAGAGTGAAGAGGACCGGCTGTCCACAGCAGGAGGGTGTGCAGACCTCTCTTGCTGTGAGGATGGCGTTGAGTGTGACCTTTTGAGCTGTGCACTGGTCACACAACGTGGCTCCTCAACACACACACACACACACACACACACACACAAACACACAACCTGGCAGAGTCTGCTTTATACATCATGTGACACATAAGGCATTTCCAGGAGCAATTTTTACTATCTATAGTTAGCCTTACATATTTGTAGGACTGTGATTCGAGGTTCCGAGTTATAAAGAAAACCAACGCTGAAAGCAGCAGATCAGAAACTGAAGCACATTAGGCATATTTGGAGAGTCAGAGACTCAGGATTGACCTTAGATGTCAAATATCCACAATCATACCACCCAGGGAATCTGGAGAAGACCCTAAAGCAGCTACAGTGAGGTTCACAGGGCTCACTCTCACTGGCCTCAGCTACTGCTGCTCCAAGGTCAAGGCCAGAAGAAACACTGGTGCCTTGCTTTCTCTTGTTGCCTACCTCAGTTAGGAAATCTCATCTCCATGCATCTGATTGCAGATTCTAGGGTCCAAACCTGCCCCCTGATAGGGAGAAGACGTTTCTAGCATCTCCCTTGGAATAGTACAGTCAAGTACCTGGCCTAAGTAAGTTCAAAATAAATGTTAACAGTATTAGTACTATCATTACTACCACTATGTCTCTTTTGGAAAGACATGTCTCACTGAAATCCAAAGGACAAGGAAGAAACCCTATATCTCTCTCCCATCAACACAGTTATCTCAGGGTAATGAAAACTTAGCAGAGCAAAACATTGTTTTAAAACTCATAATTTTAGAGAAGACATATTTGGCCAGTATATGGTTTTCATTTCTGTGTAAGCACATGTAATTTCCTTCATATCTGTCCTACATAGTCATTACAGATAAGTCAGGCTTCATTGTGTAAATATTTCACCATTAATTTTCCATTGTTAGGCCTCTTTTCCATAATGTATATGGACTGGGTGTTTTAGGTAATTATTCCTAAAGTAAATGTACAAAATCCCTCCCAATGGAGTCAAGCAGTAAAACAAATTTAACACTTGCTGAAAGTGGAGAAACTTTCTCAAAAAAAAAAGGGCATTGGGGGTGAGGAGGTGACGGAGAACTCAATCAACCAGATACCAAATTCTCTGGCGGCTCAATTTGTATACCAACACACACTGAACGTCTAATTTGCTCTTGGAAAGTAAGGGATTTGATGACTAAGCTACCTCAAAGCAATAAATCAAAGAGAGTAAGAGTATAAACAAGCCGGCGCCGTGGCTCAATAGGCTAATCCTCCACCTTGCGGCGCCGGCACACCGGGTTCTAGTCCCGGTCGGGGCGCCGGATTCTGTCCCGGTTGCCCCTCTTCCAGGCCAGCTCTCTGCTATGGCCAGGGAGTGCAGTGGAGGATGGCCCAGGTGCTTGGGCCCTGCACCCCATGGGAGACCAGGAAAAGCACCTGGATCCTGGCTCCTGCCATCGGATCAGCGCGGTGCGCCGGCTGCAGCGGCGGCCATTGGAGAGTGAACCAACGGCAAAGGAAGACCTTTCTCTCTGTCTCTCTCTCTCACTGTCCACTCTGCCTGTCGAGAAAAAAAAAAAAAAAAAAAAAAAAAAAGAGTATAAACAGACGACTTAAACACTCAAAAGTAAGTATTTTCACTGGGCCCCGGGTGCTCTCTCGCCACAGGACCTTGAGCTCCTGACTTCTCCTCTCTAACCTGGTTTTTTCACTTGCAAATCACAGATGATAACACTTCAGGGTTGTTGGGAAAATGAGAGACTGCACAGAAAGGTGCCTAGAATGGAGGCGGGCTGGAACCTGGTCAAGGCGCTGCCTCCCCTGGCGCGGTGCCAGCCCCACTGGGGGAGAGGAGAGGGGAGGGGCAGCATGAGCAGCAGTAACCCAAACTCTGGCCGATCTTGAATTAGAAATAAACAGCATTTGATCTTGGTCATCCTTCCCCAGGGCCTCAGGCACAGTCAGCACCAAGGGGGTGGAATTTGCAATCAGAGGCCACAGTGATGTTGAAACCTAGTGACACCGTAACCCCGTGCTTACAGTGATGTGCGCCTCCAGGAGCCCCACGGCCTCATTCAGGGAGGACAGGAAGTGATAGTTTGTTGGGCTGAAGAGCTCCGAATCGGTTGAAAGGAAAAAGGAAACCACGCAGCTTTTCCGCGTACAATTCCCACATCGGTTCGTCAGTTTCGACACGGGCTCCTTATAGAGGGGGACGGCCTTCCCGGCTTTGATCACAAGCTGGCTAGTGACAAGCGAGCACACAGGCTGCAGGGAGCTCCAGGAGTGGACTCGCACCTGGGGAGAAAAGAAACAAAGTGAACGTTCCCGGTCCCTGGGCTTTTCAGAGACCAGTAGTAGTGATCGCCCAAAGTCCAAATAGCAGAAGAGCTTTTTTTTTTTTCCCCAAAGATTTATTTATGTCAGAATTACAGAGAGAGAAAGAGAGAGAGAGAACTTCCATCCACTGGTTCACACCCCAAATGGCTGCAACAGCCGAGGCTGGGCCAGGCCAAAGCCAGGAGCTTCTTCCAGGTCTTCCATGTGGGTGCAGGGGTCCAAGAATGTGGGCCATCTTCTGCTGCTTTCCCAGGCGTATTAGCAGGGAACTGGATTGGTAGTGGAGCAGCCAGAACTTGAACTGGTGCCCATACAGGATGCCAGCCCTGCAGACGGCAGCTTAATGCACTGCTCTTCCGTGCTGATCCCCAGCAAGAGTTTTAATCCCAGCCCTATGAAGTTCCAATTAATTATGTGACCAAGTTGTTCAAACTCCCCAGGTTCCATTTCCTCATTTGTAAAGTGGGACTAATTGGGGCTGGTGCTATGGTGAGGAGGTTAATCGTACACCCACAGTGCCGGCATCCCATGAGGGCACTCTGAGTGAGTCCCGGCTGCTCCACTTCCTATCCAGCTCTCTGCTATGGCCTGGGAAAGCAACAGAAGATGGCCCAAGTCCTTGGGCCCCTGAACCCATGTAGGAGACCTGGAAGCAGCTCCAGGCTCCTGGCTCCAGCCTGGCCCAGCCCCACCTCTTGCAGCCATGTGAGAAGTGAACCAGCAGGTGGAAGATCTCCTTCTTTGTAACTCTTTCAAATAAATAAATCATTTTTAAAAATAGGAATATTTGTGGCATTAATTTCACAGGTGACTGTGAGAATTTAAAACATAATCATGTAATCGAAAATGAATCTTGATGTGAATGGAAGGGGAGAGGGAGTGGGAAAGGGGAGGGTTGCGGGTGGGAGGGACGTTATGGGGGGGAAGCCATTGTAATCCATAAGTTGTACTTTGGAAATTTATATTCATTAAATAAAAGTTAAAAAAAACATAATCATGGAAGATGCAGTACCTGGTGCATTATAATTTTTCTATAAAATGATCTGTGTTCAGTGTTGACATCCTCCAAATAGTAGCCACCTGAGAATGTTAGTTTCCACCCTTTCTTTGTATTTAAGCTTGTTTTAAATAAAAGTTCATTTTTCTGCCCGTTCTAAATACTCTCACTGATTTCCACTGTAACATCCCATTTTTAAACATTTTTTGGCAAAGTCTGCACTATTTCTAGCTTCTCATCAAATAAATAAGCTTACATTTAAGTGGCACTTTACAGCTTATGTAGTTCACTTCCATCTAATTTTTTTTCACTATCATAGAAATCCTTTTAAGCAAACAGGTAGGTATCAGTTTATAGAGGAGCAAATACAATCTCCAAGACTCCAAGGCTCTTGTTTAAGGTCAGGTATTAAGCGGCAGCGTTTTAATCTAAATACATGTGTTGTAACTCCAAGAACGGCCCATTTTCAACCAGACTCTAGAGCCATCTGAATACAAATAAATTTGATTTTTCTCAAAAGTAGGATAAGCAACCAACTAAGTGTGCGCAGCGGTTACGTACGGTGAGCCTGACTTTGCAGTTGGAGTGGAGATCCGACACGCCATAGATGTTTAACGCGCTCTGGCTCTCAAAGCCCACGGCCAGCAGCGGAGCGAAGAAACGCCGAGCGAAGTAGTGAAGCATCTTCCACTTGCCCCCGTACTCTGCAAGCAACCAAGAAAGTGCAAGATGGGCAGAGCCCGGTGCTCAAGGGAGGCGCTGAGGCCCAGCTTGGAGTGGCTCACCCTGATTCTGGGGAAGAAGCGCCCAAGGGAGCCAATGGCCGAGGAACCCATGAGGGTGAACAGCCCGGGAGCATTTTGGATACTAAGTCACGTCCCCTCACAACATCTGGGTAACAGGTTTTAACAAATCACTTTACACGGGAAGAAATGGAGGCTCAGCTCTTGATTCCAATTTGGGGCAGCATTTTGAATCCCGATCTCCCTGCTAGCATGCAGGCAATTTTGCTAAGACCTCCACAAGGGAGTGGTCCTTTTTGCCAGGCACACACAGAGGAAGAAATTAGCAGCACTGGCAGGCAACACTTGTTAACAAGTATTCACTTAGAAATCCCTTAATACTCAAAGTCTCCTTTTCCCATAGGCACAAAACCCCATGAGCAAACCAAAACAATGACAACACAAATGTGGCTGACAAGATCAGACTGGGAGAAGGCATTGAAACCAGCGGCATTGCACAGCTGTGCCTCAAATACAAGGACGAGTTGTCAAGGTTCCATAGAACACTGTGCCTTGCTGGCATGTGTAGTGTGCTCAACGCACAAACTTGATCTTTCTCAGCATTGCTCTCTTTCAGAAAAAAACGCCTTCCCCACAAAGCACCTTTATCATCAAGCCAGCAGGAGCAGGGGTGCCAGGACACACAACACCAGCCGTGCAGATGGGGCCATGTGGTTTGGAAGTTCAGACAATACTAATTTAAGGGTTTTATTAAAAAAAAAAATCAACTCCAGGCACTTCAGTTCCAACTAGTAGCACTTCCTCCTAACAAGATAGGTGGGGAGGGGGTGGTGTGAAGAGGCTTTTCCTACTGGATCTCTAAAGCGAACTAGAACTTAAACTTGAAAGGTTTTTTCACAAAAGTGAGGTGGCTCAGACCTGAGGTAACTTACGCACTCTCATGTGTGATATCCATTCCAGAGGAAAGGCCACAGACAGATACACTTAAGGGAGCAGGAACTAAAGCAAAAGGCTTCGTTGCTGCACATCCCAGGTTACTCACCAGTGATAAAGTTTGGATACCAACAAAATACTCTGCATTACAGGCTAAAACTCTCCTAATTTTTGGCTTTACCATTAGCTATGTAGCTTTTCAAATTTATGAACCAAGCAGAAGGCCCAGGTATACTTTTGTATTTGGAATATTATAAATTAGACTAGTTTTTAAAAATAAATATATGCACCCTATAGATTCTAAGTAGCTGTTAATCCCTTTAACATATCACCATTGCAGGCAATAAGAGGAGATACGTCCCTCCCCTACCTGCACACACTATTAACAGTGGATTTATTGGCCCATCAGGGGCTACGAGGCTACCCAGACTGGGAACAAACACACCATGCTTTGTCGCAGCTTCTCCTTGGCACCACTCTTCTGTAATAAGTGAGGAGTTGGTGACCCTCTCCATGGAGGCAGGGTCCTGCCAGAGTTAGAAACCAGCCCAGGACACTCCTGTACTTTCTATGAAGAACTCACATGCATAGTCTACATGCAATCGCTTAAAAGAAGATTTACAAAAACAGGGCTGTCCCATTTCTGGAATTGAACTCTATACTTTCGAAGTCCATACCTCATTCACACATCATCCACAGCCAGAAGGCAAGAGTTATGCCCATGTGTGTTGGCTATCTTTTAAGCAACATGGAAGGATATTCCATCCCACAGTACATCTCTGATTCTCATTCTGTGTTACACCTTTTATCCGGTTCTTGTTGATAGTTTGGTCAGAGACGCTTGATCAAAAACTTAATCCCTGCAAAGCACCCATCTGGCATTAATGAGGGCGTATCTGGAATGAGCTGCCTTGCATTTGCTTTCCCAGCCAGTTTAACAGCCTCACCCAGCAAACAGGCCTCTGCTTTATGGCCTGAACTAGTATTTCTATTATTAACTGAACTTTGCTTCAAATCACCTCTAGTGAAGGCCAAAGACTCTTCACTATTTCTTCAATTTTTTTAAACGTACCAATGTAGATGGAATAATTCAAATGGCAAACTCTATGTCAGTCGTCTCACCTGTTGCTAGTCGAGCTCATACAACTGGTAACCTTTCCTATTTGAATTTTTGACTTTACTACCTTCGACCCAAGAGATAAGAAGGAATAATAAGGTGGTCTTATAGACTTAAAATGGGGGAAGACTCAGAGGAAGGGGCATTTTAACACTTAACTGGCCCAATCCTACTTGGTTGAGTGCCTCTACTCAGAGCAGGGATACTTAAGTTCATACTCTCTTGGCCCTGGAAAGCCCCCTTAAATAAGTTCAAAATTTTGTGCAACAATTGCAAGACACGTGGCAGAGGTCTTCATATAGGGATGTCTCCTGTTCTTAGCCTGCTGCTATCACTTTGCACAGAACAAGTGCTCATAATGAGGCTGCTGCTAAGGCTCACAGAAAGCCTCAAGGTGAGCAGGATGGCTGCAGTTCACAGACAGGTCCCAGGAAAAGTCTCTAATAGCTGAAGTTCTGCTGGGTTCATCTGATCTGTCAGGCTCTGTGTGTTCTCAGTCTACCTTCCCACAGCTACTGCTTTATCTCCCCCACACAAAGAATGCTCCCACACTTACCTAGAGAGGCCCAGGATGGAGCCTGCCAGATGTCATTCAGCTGCCAATAAAGTGCCCCCATGGTGTGCCCTTCTCCATTCACTATCTCACTGCGGCTGCGGAGGTAGAATTCAGTTTCTGTTTTGACACACTGGGCCTGTACCACCTGATTCAGAAGAAAACATCCACACACAGGTGTTACTGTTTGACATACGCTGTCTAGTCCTGGGAAAATTACAGGTTTGAGGTCTGTGTAAGTTTTTTAAGGCAAATTAGATAAGTTTGGGGATTTGATAGGCATTAGGAATAACTTATTGTACCAGACCTAAAATTAGCTCCTTAGCATAAGAGAAGCTCTTGTCTTCACTGCAGCTTTATCTGCAGAATTAGTGTTTGATTTATTATAGCAATGGGTAACTTGGACCAGCATCGTGGTACAGTGAGTTAAACTGCCACTTGTGATGCTGGTATCCCCTATGGGCACTGGTTTGTGTCCCAGCTGCTCCACCTCTGATCCAGCTCCCTGCGAATGCACCTGTAAAGCAACAGACTATGGCTCCAAGTGCTTGGACCCCTGCCACCCCATGTGGGATACCCGGATGGTGTTCCAGGCTCCTGGCTTTCACCTGGCCCATCCCTGGCCATTTGGGAAGTGAATCAGTAGGTGAAGATCTCTATATCTCTCCATCTTTCGCTGTGACTCTGCCTTTCAAATAAATAAATAAATCTTTAAAAGCAATGGGTATCAAAGGAATTGGATGGCAAAAATGGTTCTTTGCTAATGACAGTGTAGGCAAGGAAGGAAACTCCAGAGAAAATGCTACACAGGCAATATCAAAAAGTTTGCAAAAACTAAAATTATAAGTTTATTTTGGTGAAAAATTTTGAAATCCATGGTTTCTCCATAAAACTAATTTTCCATTATCTTTTTTGAAAATTCCCCATATATATATATATATATATAGAGAGAGAGAGAGAGAGAGTGTCAAACACTGGGTTCTGTCAATGGTTGATTGTGATAATGCATTCATAGCTATTAAGTAGCATTCTACAGGAAACATAACTTTGTTATAGTATATCTGATATTATCCAATCCCTAATGCTTTTAGACAAAAAAATTTTATATAATGAATTTTGATAATACAAAATTTCTTGGAACAGATGGCAAATTACAACGAGACAAGTGAAATGAGTTCTTACTTAAGAGGCCTCAAGTACTTCATGCAGGATCCTTAATTACTGTCATCATCATTGAAACACCAGTCTCGTTTATTGCAGCTGTTACTGACACAGTGTATAGCACCTGCTCTTAAAGTTGTATTTGGGAGGAGCTCATGAGCGGTCACCAAGGAAGACCCAGGGCAGTGGATTTCAGTAAGAAAACAGGATGGCCTTCGATTTTTCTAAGATTTTCCTCTGGATTTTTCACAGAGGAAGGGAAAAGCGGTGTATAAATGGCCATGAAGCTCAGAGGCTTCCCTATAAAACTGGAAAAGCTCAGATAAAGGTAGAACCTTTAGATACAGGTAGGCTGGCTAATAAGAAAGTCATAGGTGAAACTAGGACATATTTGAGTTGAAACCGTAACATTCTAGCAGGGTGAAGCAAGAAGAAACCATGGTCATTGGATAAATATGTGGTTAGTACCCACAGCATGTGCTATTATGCTGGTAATGGTAAGCCCCTATCCCAGCCAAAAATGATACAGCCACCCTCATGGAGCTTATTGGTTTGTGCAGAAGACAGGCCTTAATCAAAGAATCACACAAAGGAACATTCAACGCCATAAGTACTAACAAAAAGAAGTGCACAACATTTTGAGCTCATGCGGTTGGGTAAACATGCCTAACTAAGGACTGAAGATTGGCCTCCGCCTGCGGCGCCGGCACACTGGGTTCTAGTCCCGGTCAGGGCGCCAGATTCTGTCCCGGTTGCCCCTCTTCCAGACCAGCTCTCTACTGTGGCCAGGGAGTGCAGTGGAGGATGGCCCAAGTGCTTGGGCCCTGCACCCCATGGGAGACCAGGAGAAGCACCTGGCTCCCGGCTTCGGATCAGCGTGGTGCAACGGCCGCAGCGTGCCGGCCGCAGGGGCCATTGGAGGGTGAACCAACGGTAAAGGAAGACCTTTCTCTCTGTCTCTCTCTCTCTCACTGTCCACTCTGCCTGTCAAAAAAAATTTTTTTAATTAAAAAAAAAAAATAAGGACTGAGGATTGGCCTAAAAGAAGAAATGGAAAAAGGGGAGGGCAGAACCTCTCAGCCAGAGAGGACAAAGAGTGGTTACAGAAGAAGTCTCAGGCTGGCCAAGAACTGGAGGAAGGCCAAAGCGGAACAGACAGCCCGGAGCAAGGAAAGAGAGGTGGCTGAGGAACATAGCAGCAAGGCTGTGGGAGGCCAAGTGAAACACGGTAAAGAGTTTGATGCTTCTTACAGGCAACTGGGAGTCACAAATAGCCTTCAAGCTAAAGACTTTTATGACCAGGTTTGCATTTCCAGAAGATGACTTGGATTAACAAATTAAGAATGGATCCTAAAGGGGCCAGAATGGATGTAGGGAGACCACTTAGTAAGCTGTTAAAACACTCCAGGCAAGAGATGCTATCAGCCATGGGCAGATAAAGAAATTCCCTTTTCTTTCAGAAACCAGTATGCTGGGACCACAGCAGTGACAGCTGGAAAGTATGCTCCAAGGAGAGTAAATACCTCACAAAGCAAGTGGTACTGGATATAGTCTGAATATTTAGATTCATAACCAGAGGATATAGTCTGAACATGAGATCCAAAAACTAAATCATGGGGTGGGTGTTTGTTCTAGCAGCTGAGATGCCAGTTCTGATGCCCATGTCCCATATCAGAGTAGCCGAAATCAAGTCTTGGCTCCATGCCAATTCCAACTTCTAGCTATTGCCACCACAGGAAGTTGCAAGTGATGGCTCAAGTACTGGGTCCCTGCCACTCATATGGGAGACCTGGACTGGGTTCCCTGCTCCTGGCTTCAGCCTTGGCCTGATGCAGACCCAGCCCTTGCAGAGGATATTTTCAGGGAGAACTAGCAGAGGGTTAGCACTCTCTCTCCCACTTTTTTTAATTTTTTTGAAAAACTAAGAGGATAACAGAAAAATATGAGAGTACTAAAAGTTCATGAAAGGAGAGGCACTGTGGTACAGAAGGTTAAAGCCCCAGCCTGTAGTGCCGGCACCAGTTTGAGTCCTAGCTGCTCCACTTCCAATCCACCTCCCTGCTAATGTGCCTAGGAAAGCAGCAGAGGATGGGCCAAGTCCTTGGCCCCTGCACACAAGTGGAAGACCCAGAAGAAGCTCCTGACTTCTGGCTTCAGATTGGCTCAGCTCCAGCTGTTGCGGCCATTTGGGGAGTGAACAAGTGGATGGAAGACTTCTCTCTCTGCCTCTACCTCTCTAACTCTTTCAAATAAATAAAAAATAAAAGTTCATGGAAAACTCATATTTTCAAATTTTCCAGAGAATTTTTGAAGTACCATCATAGTCCTAAGAAGAAGAAACATCTATTTCTATGCCAAAACAGCTAGGGCCATAATTAGATTCAACACATTGCAGTTGTAACTGGTTTCCCTCCCCTAGCATTCTTCCAGGTCCATCCATGCTGCAGCATGTATCAGGGCTTCATTCCTTTTTATTTCTGAACACCGCTTTATTCTATTTTTTAACATCTTTTTAAAAATTTTTAAAGATTTATTTATATGAAAGGCAGAAAGGGAGGGAGGGAGGGAGGGAGAAAGAGAGGGGGAGAGAGAGTCTTCCATCCACTGGTTCACTACCCAGTTGGCCACAGCGGCAGGAGCTAGGCCAATCTGAAGCCAGAAGCCAGGAGCCTCTTCTGGGTCTCCCACACCGGGTGCAGGGGCCCAAGGACTTGGGCCATCTTTCACTGCTTTCCCAGGCCATAACAGAGAGCTGGATCAGAAGAGGAGCAGCCGGGACTTGAACCGGCGCCCATGTGCGATGCCGCCAACACTGCAGGCAGCGGCTTTACCCGCTATGCCACAGCGCCGGCCCTTCATTCTATTTTTTATTTATCTATTTATTACTTATTCATCAGCTGATGAACACTGGGTTATTTCCACCTTTTGGCTACTGTGAAAAATGCTGTAACAGACATCTGTGTACAAATTTTCCGGAACATATGCTTTAAGTTTTCTTGTTTATATACCTAAGAGTAGAAATATTCATATGGTAACTCTGGGTCTACCTTTTTGAGAAAATGACAAAATGTTTTCCATGGCAGCTAAACCATTTACATTCCCACCAGCAACATATGAGTTTTCTAATTCCTGCACATCCTTGAAAATACTATTTTTCTTCTTTGTTTTTGTTTTCTAGCTATCTTAGCAAGCACAAATGGCATCTCTTTGAGGTTGATTTGCTTTGTTCTTCCCTATTAACTAATGGTATCAATTATCTGTTTCAGTGGCCATTTTAAGAAATGTCTGTTCAAAGCCTTTACCATTTTAAAAAAACAGAATGACATTTGGGGCTGGCGCTGTGGCGCAGTGAGTTAACACCCTGGCCTGAAGTGCTGGCATCCCATGTGGGCACCAGTTCAAGACCCAGCTGTTCTACTTCCAATCCAGCTCTCTGCTATGGCCTGGGATGGCAGTAGAAGATGGTCCAAGTCCTTGGGCCCCTGCACCTGCGAGGGAGACCTAGAAGAAGCTCCTGGCTTCGGATTGGCACAGCTCCGTCCATTGTGGCCAATTGGGGAATGAACCATCGGATGGAAGATCCCTCTCTCTCTCTCTGCCTCTCTTCTCTCTGTGTAACTCTTTCAAATAAATAAATCTTTTAAAAAATAGAATGATATTTTGCATTATTGAGTTATAAGTGTTCCTGAATACCAGACACTTATCATATATACGATTTATAAAGTTTTCTCTGATTCTGTGGATTATCTTTTTACTTTCTTGATAGTGCCCTGTTCATTGCTAGTGCATGAAAATACTACTGATATCCATATATTTATCTTTTTCTTTTATGTGAAAGGTAGAGGAGGATGGACAGAGTGAGAGATCTTCCAGCCGCTAATCCACTCCCCAAGTGGCCATAATGGCCAAGCTGGGCCAGGCTAAAGTTAGGGACCTGGAGCTTCTTCTGGGTCTCCCATGTGGATGCAAGAGCCCAAGGACGTGGTC